CCTAATCTGAGCGTTGCATTTTGTCTTTCTGAAAGCAGTCTCGCTTAGATGATTGGGTTTGGTTTTTTTTTTGCTGTGGCTGTTCTGTTGTTTTTAATGTATAAATGACACTGGAGCAGAATGGATTCCTTCCCACACGTTAGGATTAGGGTCTTGTCTTTTGCGCAAGTTCAGCTACAGCGGAACATTGCTGGGTTGGTGCATTTTTAAGCTTGAAAACAGCTTTGTTTGTTCTGTATTTTCATGAGCCGGTACTTATGCCCTTGATTACAGGTTACTAATGAAAAAAACATCCTTCAGGCAAATAGGAAAAAATGGGAATTCTCCAAGGCAGATGTGCGTTTGCCAGAACTAAATCATCTCCCTGAACTCAGAGGAGTGGAAGGTAGGAGCTTTGATCTCCTCTAAATGAAACCTGGATCCTAAATAAGTGACAGGAAGCAGTATGCATTACGCAGTCAGCTCTTGCTCCCTTGATGTGGTATGCATTTGCTTTGTTTTGCAGCGTGGCATCCCAGATTTCTGAAGAAGGAAAATAAACCAGTTTCAGAGTCCCGTGTCCCCTCTCTTGCTGCTATTGACCTCCATACCCCAAGTCTGGCCTCACAGCAGGTAACAAAACAATGAAATAGTTTGTGCTGCTCTGTATTTGTTTGGTTTGGGACTTTCTGAACAGTGGGACTCTTGACAGAAGCAGAACTTGCCTTGGTTTCTTAACTGTCTAAGTTAAAGGACCTGAGGTCTTACTCTGGGGGAAAAGAGAAGGGTCACAGATGAAACACAGGGCTCTATTTGTCTCTCTGAGGTTTGCGAAATACTAGATTCTCACTCCTAAGACAGGCAATGTGAATTGTTGCTATTTCATCTGGCTGGATCGAGGTGGAAGTAAGCCTGATTTGCCAGAGTTGAAGAGAGGCCAGGAGGGACACGTGTTTTGAGGAGAACTGTTCCGGCTGTGTTAGATGTTGAGGGGCTGAGTGCAGTAGGGAGGGGGAAAGCGTAGGAGCCGGGCATAGGGAGAGAAGGAGAAAACTTGCAACTCTCTTAAAAGATCAGTTCTTCAGTCACATTGAGATGTTTGGCAGTTAAGTAATTCCAGAGACTGTCACTTTGGCCACCTTGCTTCCAGTTGAGATTCGGCAGACCGTATTGGGGCAGGGGGAGGAAGCGTTTTGGAAGTCTGATTTGATCAAAGAACAGATGTGTTTTAAGTTGCATGTGGGCATTACGTATGTCCCTAGAAGGTGGTTTCCCATTGCTCTCTCTATTTATACTACACTTGGAAATGGAACCCTCTCTTTCTTTTCTTTCCGTTCTCAATTTACAGCTGTCGGGGACCTTGATGCCCGATGTCTCAGAAGCCAGTTTCCCCAGAGTCGACCACTAGCCTTATGGTGGAGATCACACCTGCCTGTAAAAGGTAGGCTTGAATTCCTGCAGCGTAGCCTTCTGGTGGCTTGAATTTCTCCTGTGTACTGGGATCTTTCAAATGGATAGTTTCATGAACGCTTACCTAGTTGGGAGGTGCAACGGGAAAAGTCCTTTGGCGCTTCGCATTCTCGATTAGGACCCGTAGCTTGACAGACCTCTTACGGAGGGCAGCGCGCAGCTTTCTTTACAGGTACTGAAGTTGGCTGTGGCAGGTGAATCATTTTCCTGAGCTGAGGTGCTGGGTGTTGGTTTCGGAAGTGAAGCAGCTCATGAAGTTGGGGGGTTGAGGAAGGCGGTAGGATAACGAAAAGGGGAGAGCGGCTGCCTTCAGGTGAGGAGTGGAAAAACGGGTTCTATGTGCAGCACTGTGTAGCGCATCGCAGAAAATGGACTTTTGTGCAGGAAGGGAGAAAAGTGGTTTGGGGCGCTTGTCAAGCTTGATATTAAGGAAAATTTTTAGTAACTATGTCATGCAATATAAATTTATTTAATGTAGCTGTACAATATCTCAGTGCTCCCCAAGTATGAGATAGAAGTCTGGGGGAGAAGGAGGCTTAGGAAAAGTCCTGGCTGCGCAGTTGACTTCTAGTCTTAAGATCGAATTACTAAGTTTGAACTCTGCCACTCCATTTGCACTTTCAGTTAGCATTGCATCTTATCATTGTAGATTGTTTTAAGCTGAGGCTTTTAAATGTGGTTTTAATAGTTTCTCATCTTGCACATTGAAACACCTGCAGTTCTTTTAAGTCATTTTGTCTGGGGGAAAAAAAAAAAACTCAAGAAAAAATGTGCGGTTTTGTTTGTTGTTTTGCTTTTTTCCACTGGGGTATTGTTACATCTTGTTGCTCAGGGAGTTTGCTGAACGTGTTGGAGTTTGTCTTATCCTCTTGAAAGTGAGAACTGCAGTGTTTAGTTGATGGGTTTCGCTCTCCTGATCACCCCTCTTTCCTCACTGAGGCTGGGCAGAAGGACCGCACCTTCCACAAGGGGCAGAGTTGGGGAGAATAAAGAAGGGAAGGAGACAAGGCGCTCTAGAAGGGTCGTCAGAACCTGTGCTCCAAAATCTCACCGGCTCTATCACAACCTTGCGTCCTGCATAGATGGGCTTTACTCAGTGCTTTGGGTACCCTGGTGCTGCCAGCCCGGAGGCGATCGCATACCTGTCCCTTCTCTCGGTGGCCACAGGGACCGCCGGGCACCGCAACCTCCCTCCTCTCTTACTCGCTGTTGGTTACAGATAGCCACGAGCGTGTCGTGGCAATACTGTTAACATACAGGTGCAAACTGTCCATTTTGGGGGTTTTTGGGGGGCTCTGGTGTTCCCTTTTTGAGCAGAGGGAGCAACTGCTGACTCTGAAATCTCTGCGCAAATGCTTTACGTGCTCTTTATGTGAGTGTATTTGGCACTTATACGCATGTGATGTGATGGCGTAACGCTACTAGGAAGAAGAAAAACTATTGGGATGGGAAGCGATCCTCATAATTGAAGTAGGGGGAAAAGGAACCTTACTAAAGTCTCATCTGTGAAGCACAAGAGGTGTAAGTGCACAGCTTTAGCAAGGTAAGGATGTGTAATAAACCCAAATAAAGGAAGCCTATCATCAGGGAGTACCTCAGTGGTTTTGTTACCCTGTCCATAACATCATTCTGCTTTTCTCCTCTTGACGCAGGTGGCTGAAAACAGTGGGAACAAACCACCCGAGCGTCCAGGTGCTGAAGCCGCAAGGTCTCTGCGGGAGAGAGGAGGATCCCTTTCTCTCTCGTTAGCGCAGCCGACTGCCACGGGAAGCGTCTCGGGTCCGGTCCGAGGACAGAGCTCGCACTGCCATTGCTGCTGGATTTCTTGCATGCAAAAGAGCTGCTGAAATATCGACTTTCTGTCGCGGGGCCAGGTCTCGTCTGAGGCCGCTCAGAGAAAAATAGCGGTTATTGGTGTGTGACGAGGGCAGAAGCTGGTTTGGAGGATTTTTGAGGAAGCTGGGCTTGCTTTTGTCCAACTGCTGCCCTCTTGAGGGTTTTCTTTTGAAACGAATAGCGAAGAGAGTAGGTAGCTGCTGGAGTCGCCGGTGTTTTGGTGGATTGCCTGATCTGTATTGGAAAGCGCCTTTGCCTTGACAAAAATGGCAGCGAAGAATAAGTTTGTGCAAGAAATACAACGTTTAAAGGCGTAAATGTTCCCAGCTCTCTCTTTTGAAACCCTTGCTAACGCTCAGCAGCACATGTGACCTTGTGTTAGGTTCCTTTTCCCTCCGTGCTTTTGTCCCCCGGTTTTTGGGCGGTTGTCTTTCGGGTGTTGAACTGGGCCCGTTGTCCGGCCACGCTGGGTCAACGTCTGGCTGCTGTTAATGGCAAAGGAAGAATATCGGTGTAAAATCCTGAGCCAGGCGGTTTGTGAAATGGCTTCTGTGAGCGCTCGGCAACTCACTTAAGTCATCGGTCCTTTGGGTCCCTTGGGGGAGTGGGACATGTAAAACGCGACAGTGGCGTGGCTTTTATCTCGGGACCGTTAGGAGACCGTTTGTGCTTAACTGCCCTCAACGTTGGCTGTAGTCAGTTTTATGGAGTCCCTGTGTTGCTCACAATTGTTTTCCGGCAGCTCGCAGCCGCTGTCAGAGCCCGCATCCCTGTACGGTGTAGCTAATTTTGGAAATTGTCTTTCCACAAAATACGGCCTTTTCCTGTCCATGTATCACGGCAGGACGCGGTATGAACGTCATGGCATTTACATCTTTGTGGCTACGCTGTGTTTTGACACATACGTTAAAATTTGTAAATAAAAGGATATTAAAATTCCAAATTTCTCAGCACTGGTGTGTGCTTACAAATAAACGTAAGATGCGTTCACTTAAGTCTTCCCTGGACTTGGTGTCCCATCTCCTTATCTGTAGCGCTGGCATCACCTGCATTGAAAAATAGGACTTTCGACTCGGTTTTTATTTAAGTTGACATCATGTTTATTGCCACCATTTACAAGCACAGGTTCCAAACATCCCTCGGCAGCATCGGAGAGCCCGAAACCAACCGTGCTCATCCAGCGTGCCCATCACCTTCCCAACTGGCAACACCACAGTTACCTTCCCATTGCTTTGCTTTTTCTTCGCTGCTAACGATGAACCGCTGCGGGGTAGCCCAGTTGTACCAGTAAGCGAACGTTCCCTGCTGGCCAGAGCAGTGCCAGCCTCCCCATCCAGGAAACAACAAGCTGCTCATCCTGGAAAAGATTCCGGGGAAATCTCTGCCGGCTCTCCAGCTGTTTTCCCCTACGCCGCATCGGATGGCCGAGAGTTTTGGGTTTATTATTGAGGGAGCAAGGGGGAAAGGTTGTGGGTTGTAAAGGGGGTGGTGGTGTTTTAGGGGAGAAGGAAGGGAAAAAAGGAGGGTTTTGGGGGAAAGGTTTTGGGGG